GTCACAGCTCCTAGAAACCTCAAATTCTTGGGCTCAAGAGATTCTCTTGTTGCAGCCTCCTGAGTAGCTGGACTACAGGCGCCCGCCATAACACCCAGCTATTTTCAGAGATAGGTCTCCCTCTGGCTCTGGCTGGTGTAGATTGGGCATGTGTTTTAGTATTTTATTGCCCTTTTTCTTATTTTTTCATTGTGATAAAATATAACATGAAATTTACCATTTTAATCATTTTAGGTTTGCAGTTTGGTGGCATTAAGTCCCTTGACCTTGTGCAGCCATCACTACCACTCATCTCCAGAACCTTTTCATCTTCCCTAGCCGAAACTCTGTACCCGCTGAACACTAACTCCCTGTTTCTTTCCGTGCCCTCTCCCTCGGCATGCGCCATTCTGCTTTTGGTCTGTGTGAATTTGGCTACTCGGTTTCTTTTTACTGGCTTACTTCACTTTGTAGAAAGTCTTCTAGGAGTAGCATGTGTTGGAATTTCGTTCTTTGTCTAAGGCTAGTACTTCTTTTTTTTTTCTTTTTTAAATAAGAGGAATGGCTTTATTTATGACATAGAAGAGTTCCAAATGGCTGCACTCCTCAGACTGGCTTGGTCTTTCCCTTTTTTAAAAAAAATTGATTAATTAATTAATTTATTAATTTATTTTGAGACAGAGCCTCAAGCTGTCACCCTGGGTAGAGTGCTATGGCATCACAGCTCACAGCAACCTCCAACTCCTGGGCTCAAACGATTCTTCTGCCTCTGCCTCCCAAGTAGCTGGGACCACAGGCACCCGCTACAACGCCTGGCTATTTTTTGGTTGCAGCTGTCCTTGTCGTTTGGCGGACTTGGGCTGGATTCGAACCCACTTGCTCAGATCTATGTGTCTGGCACCTTAGCCGCTTGAGCCACAGGCGCCAAGGGTTTTTAATTTATTTTTTAAACTTTTTTTTTTTCTTTTTAATAGAGACAGAGTCTCACTTTATTGCCCTTGGTACAGTGCTGTGGCGTCACAGCTCCCAGCAACGTCCAACTCCTGGGCTTAGGCAATTCTCTTGCCTCAGCCTCCTGAGTAGCTGGGACTATAGGCGCCCGCCAGAATGCCTGTCTATTTTTTTGGGGGGGGGGGTTGTTGCAGTTTGGTTGGGGCCGAGTTTGTACCTGCCACCCTTGGTATACAGGGCTGGCACACTGAGCCACAGGCGCTGCCCAGTCTTTCCCTTTTTATCTGCAGTCAAGTTCCAAACCATAGGTACCTTTTAAGGCTAGTACTTCTTCATTTGTACATGCTGCGTGGTGTTTGTTCATTCATCGATGGATACCTCGGCTGCTACTACCTTTTGGCTGCTGTGAATAATGCTGCTATGAAGATAGTGTGCAAATCTCTCTTTGAATTCCTGCTTTCATTTCTTTGGCTATATACCCAATCCCTGAGGAAGAATTGCTGCTGCGTATGTTTTGGTTTTTCAGAGACTTGCCATGCCTGTTTCTATAGTAGCTCCACCATTTTTCATTCCCACCCTCAATGTGTACAGGGTTCCCATTTCTCTACCTCTTCACCAACACTTGTTATCTTCTGCTTTTTTATTTTTTGATAATAGTCATAATGGTATGAAGTGATATTTCACTGTGGTTTTAATTTGCATTTCCTACTGATGAGTGATGTTGAGTATCTTTTTTTCTATTTTATTTTATTTATTTATTTTTATTAAATCATAGCAGTGTACATTAATACTATCATGGGGTACAGAGTGCTGTTTCTATATACAATTTGAAATACTTTCATCCAACTGGTTCTTAGCTTTCATGTCTTTTCCTTAGTTATTGTGTTAAGACATTTATATTCTACATTTAGAGAGATTTGCATGTACCCTTATAGGATGAACCATAGACGTGAGCTCACCAGTCACCCTCCCTGAGTATCTTTTCATGTGCTTATTGGTCAGTTGCATGTCCTTTTCTCGTTTTTTAAAAGTGTCCAGTAGTATTGTAAGTTTTCTAAGAATCCACCTCTGTTCTTCAAGAATATGATTTTTTGAACTTGAGTATTTTGCTAGCACAGGAGAATGTAGAGAATGGTAGGACTAGATATAACCATAAACCTAATTCCAGGTTGACTAAAAGTGGTTCTTTTTTTTTTTTTAGAGACAGAGTCTTACTTTATCATCCTCGGTAGAATGCTGCGACATCACAGCTCACAGCAATCTCCAACCCCTGGGCTTAGGGGATTCTATTGCCTCAGCTTCCCGAGTAGCCTGCACCTGCCACAATGCCGGGCTATTTTTTTGTTGCAGTTTGGCTGGGGCTGGGTTTGATCCTGCCACCTTGGGTATATGGGGCTGGCGCCCCACCCACTGAACCACAGACGCCACCCTAAAAGTGATTTTTGAGTAGTAAACACATTCTAGTTAAATATTCTGTAAAGCATTCCATAAATTAGATTTCCATATCTGTCT